TCCTGTCCTCATCATCCAGCAACCTAATGTTAGAATGTTTTATTTAAATTTAAATCCAACAGTGGAAATCTATAGGAAGATCCCATCTTAATACTTTGAGAGGCTCACCTGTCCCATGCCAGCCAATGACCTATACCAGATATCAATGTATGCAGAAGGCAGCCCTGGAAAAGACACCCCTTGAAATTTCTTTGTATGGCCATGAAGCCTGTATGTAGATTTAACTTAAAATTTGGATCTCAAGCTTCAGAGGGCTTTAAAACCCATCAGCTAGACATCACCACAAACATTTGGTCATGATGCTTTCTCACCATTGGGGCGAATATTCCGGCAACTTCCCTCACCACCCTGACTGGCACATATGCACACACAGCAGGGAAAAGGCAGACCCTGTGGTAAATCCAGCTATGTAGACACGGGCTGGTAGAGCCACTCCAGCAAACAAGGGCAGGAGTTGGAAGTGAGAGGAGGAGAAATGGAAGGTCCAGTCTCCCCCAGTGGAGTTAGACCAACTGGGGCACAGTGGAAGATGCTCTGGAATAGATTTGGGACGGGAGCCCAGTACTGTCTAGACTTTCTTTGAGAAAATGATCTTACCCTAGAGTTAATCCAAAGCATGTCAGTGATTTAGAAGGCCAGATCCGCACAAATAACCTAGATGTTGCCATACCTGCATTCCAGAGTAGGACCTGACGTGAAACCTGGTGTCACTGCAGAGACTTTTAGTGATTGTTGATTTGCCTAAGCTAAGGCATAGAAAGAATGATCTTTCCCCAGCTGGAACGAGGACAGTGTGACCTTGCACCATAACTACTCTTAACCACCTTGTAATCTTCTACTTATGATCAGTATCTGCGGGCTGGGCGTACTAGATGTCTTTCCGCTGACATCTCATCAGGGCTTATGACCCGCTCTGCTTCTGGAACATGAGAAAGCCAGGCTCTGAGAAACAGAGACAGATTGCTTGCTTGGGAAGCCAACTCATCAAACAGGACTTGGTTTAAGTAATTGGTCTAAGTTTAGGTTGAATTTGACAACAGCACAGCCAGAATTCTCTGTCTCTGTCTTTTTACTACTGAACTTCTCCAATTAGTGGTCTATGCCTGCTTCTCAAGGCCTTCTCCTTGACCCTCTGACGTTAGCCTTCTAGTTTTCAGTCTTCCCCAGGTTTGGCCATCTCCTCATTTGGATCCAGGCTTGTTGGTTCTTTCTACACTTGCCCCTGCTGTTTCTCTTAATGGTTCCCTGCTACTATCCCTGCCTCCAAAGTCTAAGTAAGGGCAAGAGAAAAATATTTTGTAAGCTTCTAAATTGAGGTGAGTCTGATGCTCGTTTTATTCATATGCTGCCCTGGTTATGAGAGACAGAGTCCCATTCAGCTCCAAGTTCTGAGTTGTGAGGGCTACTTTGCTTAAATTCCCCAGCGCTGCAACTGAGCACATCCCCAAAGTTAAAAGGTTGAGGTATTTGGGCACTGAATGGGGGACCTAAATTATTATTACAAATGTCCCTTTTATTGCCCTTCTTCCTACATCTTACCAGACGGGTGCATCGTGGGAGATTCTCACTCTGAAGTACATAGACACTGGAAGGGAAGAACATATTGAATTTTGAAGCTTAAGGACTTTAGTCAAATTTCCTAGAATGCGCCAATTCTCCTTTTTGCCAAATTCAAAAGTGCCCCCAAAAAGCAAAATAAAAAATGAAACTACTATTTATTAAGCAGTATACTTGACACTTTGCATACGTGATCTCATTTATGCAGTCCTTAAAGGAGGCATTTCCATCCCCACCAAAGGCACATCACCAATATGGTGGAGGTAAGACTCAGAGTTATGTATCTCTGAGACTAGAGTTCATGTTTTTAATAATATTACCTACACTTTTTTTAGCAGCAGATATTTTATCTTTTCTCTCCCTTTGAAACTCTCACATCTTAAACTAAATGTTATGCTCTTCTGGTTTTCTACTTACTTCCTCTTTTTCTATTTCCTTTGCTGGTTTCTCTTCTCTCTTTTACACTCTAGAATGTGCCCAAAGTTTAGTGTTTCTCCACACCCTTGGAAAGATCATCTATACTCATGTCTTCAATGAACACTTCCATGATACCATCAGAGTCTAAATACCAGGATATCAAAGACAAGATCTGTCTTATTCACCGGAAAATCTCGAGGATCCTGCAGAGTGCTTGACACACGGTAGATGTTCAATAAATATTGTTGAATAAATGAATGGATGAATGGATGGAAGAATCACTGATCTGCTGAAAATTCTCCCATATTCTTTTTCCCAATGTCTAGACCCATATCTCTGGCTACCTACTGGATATTTTCACCATAGTTTCCTGCCATTGCTATGAAATGGCAGTAAGAGTTTGGTGGAGCCGTTGAGGGTTTAAACAATTTTCTGGGGCAGCCACAGCAATTGGACTCTCTCACCGTTTACTATTGGAGGCAGCCGTATTACTGTAGTGGGTTATACACTTTCTACAGGGGAGAATAGAAGCTTGGTTCCTGCCAATGGTGTGGGTTTGGGCTCCTTTGGGAAGGCCCCAGTGCAGCTGCTGGGTGGAGTCCTTGCTAAGTAGACGTGGATGGAGAAAGACTGCTGTATCTGAAGCCACTTGTAGCTCATTTAAGGGTGACAGTATCACCACACTCATTGGGTAAATGCACCTTTGTGTTCAGCGCCCAGGGAGACTTAATGCCAGGTCAAGTCTAGGCATGGAAGAACAATGAGCTTATGGCCACGAAGAGTCATGATCCTATCAGGGCCTTCAGATCTGACTCTTGTTCCTCTTCCTGCTACAAGTCCTCAAATGTTCCTGTAAACCTTGGCCAAGAGTGCCAAAGTTGGTGGCTGTCCTTAGTTATTACGGGTGCAATCAACTGAAGATTTGTTTAGTGTGAAATAATTAATCAAATGACTTGTGGGAGGTGCTATCAGAGAAGCACATAGAAGCTGGATGACATCTACTGCCTGAGTTGTCCTGTCCACTTAATTGTCTCATACCTGTCCTACAGTACGTGCCCTGTGGTTGGCATTACCATGTGATTCAAAAATCTTTACACTTCATGCTGCTGTCATAGGTCTCTCCTTATGCTTCTACCTCAGATCAATTTGATCCCAGTTTTTCAGTCTTTCTGCTTCAGGCACCTGAGCAGCCAGCCAGGCCATTTGCCACTGCCAGTGAGTCTGTATATATTTTAACCTTGAGCCACTTCTTTTGTCCAAGCAAAGTGGGTGACCACATTCATCACCTGACACTCTCCCCAGGGGAAGAATCTTTGCCTCACCACTATTTTTCTAGGTTACCCCTGGGTGAGGATACAGTGCAGTCTATGGGTAATTTTGACTTGTACGCACATGCTAACTTAACCATACATAAGTCAAGCCCAGGCTTTTTCCTCCTCTGTCAGCTGGTTATGTAACTCACCACGTGACCATAGGTATGAGATAAGGGAGAAGTGCTTGTGCAACAACAAATGTATAAAAGCCTGAGCTCTCTGCTATTGCAACTGCCTCGTGACCTCTAGCCCAGCTCATGCTTGACTCCAGGGGTACCACTGCCACCTTATGAACTGTGGATGTGCCTAAGCGACGACTCGGTGGGTCTGACGAAACCCAGCTCATGATGATGATGGGTGTTCTGGATTCATGGTCACCTGATGTATCAGTCAGGGTTCTCTAGAGAAAGAGAACCAATAGAATGTGTGTGTGTGTGTGTGTGTGTGTGTGTGTGTGTATATATATATATATATATATATATATATACACACACACCCACACATACATAAACACACATATATGTATATACACATTATACATATACACACACACATATGGACATGGAGAGAGAGATTCATTTTAAGGAACTGGCTCACACAATTGTGGGGCTGTCATGTCCAAAATCTGCAATGCAGGCCAGCCAGCTGGAGACACCTGCTAAAGCCAATGTTGCAATCTTGAGGCCAAAGGTCTCTGGAGGCAGAATTTCTCTTTAAAGCACTTCAGTCTTTTCCCTTAAAGCCTTCAACTGATTGGATGAGGCCCACCCTTATGTGGAGGGTCATCTGCTTTACTCAAAGTCTACTGATTTAAATGTTCATCACATCTAAAAATTACCTTCAGAGCAACATTTAGACTGGTGTTTTCCCAGCCCTCTGAGCACCATACCCTAACCAAGTTGACACATAAAATTAACCATCATCCTTGGTGTCTCTATGAGACACACCCAGGAGCACACTGTGGTTTTTCAAAAGGCAAATAATCCTCCATTGCAGAAGCCCAGGACCCGCATAGTGATTCTCCCACTGGGACTTGCCATAAACTACACATGATATCTTTTTCCACCATGAATTCTCAAATATCATAGGGTCCTGTGGGTCCTATGGCCCAAGTAGCAGGGCTGCTTCCACCACAAGCTGGAGTTGCTGCAGAATTCTTTCCTACTCTGGGTGTCACTCAAAGCCTTCTAAGACAACCAGTGTATGTGCTGGAGTAGTATTCCCAAGTGTGGAATATGTTGCCTCCAGAACCCAAAGAGATCTATGAGGTATTGTGCTTCCTTCTTCCTAGTGGGAGGTATAAGATGCAAAAAATTGTCTTTCACTTTGGATGGAATATGCTAGCATGCCTCTGACCATTGGACCTTTAGCATTTTTCCTCACGTGGTAAGCTCCTGAATCTTCATAAGATTTATCTTGCACTGGAGCAGATGCTAGTTAGCTAGTTCTTGCTCACCTGGCTCATTTAGCATAATGTCATCAATGTAGTGGGTCAACACGATGTTCTGTGAGATATACAGAAAGTCCAGGGCTTCCCTGGTGGCGCAGTGGTTGAGAGTCTGCCTGCCGATGCAGGGGACGCGGGTTGGTGCCCCGGTCCGGGAAGATCCCACATGCCATGGAGCGGCTGGGCCCGTGAGCCATGGCCGCTGAGCCTGCGCGTCCGGAGCCTGTGCTCCGCAACAGGAGAGGCCACAACAGCGAGAGGCCCACACACCTCAAAAAAAAAAAAAAAGAAAGCAAGTCCAACCCTCTTTGGACTATATATTGAGTGAGCGCTAACACAGCCCTGGGTTTGTGATCCTCTTTTCTGATATGGAAATTGATGGCTCCATAACGTGTATCTGAGGCCACGTTCATCTTCTTTAGCAAAGATGCCATATCTGTCATGGCAGCTGCAGTTGGGTTTGTGATAGTCTATTGTCATCCTCCAGGACATATGACTGATTTCTGTAGGGGTCCCAATGGATGAATTAGGTGGAGTTGAAATGGGGATCTCTACCATATCCTTTAGATCCTTAAGGGTGGCATTAATTTCTGTCATCCCTCTGAGGATATGAATTTGTTTTTATTTAATACCTTGGCCGGGAGCAGGATGGGAGTACGTAGCAGTTTCAAAGGCTTCTACTTGGTCTCCTCTACACTGATAGATGGTTTTTACCCCACAGGCCAAGGATCCAGTGTGAGGGTTGTATCATCCCCCAACTATGTCTGTTCCAACTATGCATCTGGAATATACAATGGGCCCACAGTCAGCCAGAGCCTGTCAACAGTCTGTTTGTAGCCGGCTCTTCTGAACCCACTGTAATAGAGGCCATGATACTGTGGGTCTCTAGCTACCAATGTTACCTCAGACCCTGTGTCCAACAGTGGTTAAGTGCTTGAGTATTCCCCCTTCTCCTGCAAAATAAACCAACTCTCCCATAACCAGTCTCACATCCCAGCTTTCTTTGTCAAGCACCCTTGGAATTCATTCCCACAAAACTCCGCTGGCTCCTGCTAGTCTCTGTAGCTCTGTGTTGCAACTCCTTGGGCATCCATTTCCTGTCTAACCTGACCCAGCAAAAACCCTGGCTGGGTTATTCTGTGACTTAACCCTACTTATGCACCTCGCGGCCAGGAGGCGAGGTAGGGACAAATCCTGGGGGATACTGTCTTGAGGGGGGAGAGGCAAGGGAGGAGTGCCAGCTCCTAAAAGGGAGGAGAGTTCACTTCTTCAGGATCAGAACGTTCCGGGTATCTGGGAATTAAAGATTTTCAGGGACATCACTACTGATTTCTCCACTGGATGTGTCGAGGTCCCATTCTTCCCTAACAAGAGCCTTGACCTTGTTATGGCAGACTGGCCTTAACTGCGAGTTGAATATTCTTTGAATCTGAGATACTCTGATAATTAAAACCTGGACCTGTTCTTCAGCTTGCTTTGTTTTGCTACTGCAGGAGATGAGAGTCTCCTGGCTACCAAAGAAACCCTCTGGCTTTCACCGTTGGCTTTCAGTTGCCTATTAATCACTGTCAGCATTTTGTTATCTTTCACTGAAGCAATTATCACAGTAGCCACCCAGTCTCATTGTTATGGTGACTATTTCCTCCATAATTTTCAAATGTCTGATATACCGTGTGTGCTAGTATTTTCTCTTCCTTGGTACGCAATCCTCCTTTACCATTGGTGAAAGTTCACAATTGGACTGTCCCCTTGTGTCGGGGGCTATTTGCTCCAACTATCACTCGATGGGGTCAGCAATGCCAACGTGGTGGTAAGAGATTCAGCTCTAAAACTCTATCTTATACCTACTTTCTCAGATCACCCTTGCTACTAACTGTCACAGGCTGAGTACCACGGGAAGCAGACTCTGAGACTGAGTTTGATGTACAGGATATTTATTAGGTGGTGTCCTCAGGATCAACACATGTGGTTAGGGTGACAAATACATCCTGGTTTTCCTGGGACATTTTTTATTTTAACACTGAAAATCCAGCATCCTGAGAACTCCCTCAGTCCTTGGAAAACCGGGACTGTTGGTAACCCTACCTGTGGTAGAGAGGGGGCAGAAGCAGGGTTGAATGAAGGGACAAGCCAAGCTGTAATCCAGGCCTGATGGCCTCAGCTAACCCCATAGACAAAGAATTCTGGAATTAAATTTTCGCTTCAGACATGTCCAGCATCAGGCTAAAATGGCCAGGCATTTATACTCCTGTTGCCTCAGACATTGAATGTGGGCTGCCCTGGGAAGGGCATGGCCGTGGGTGGGCAGTCTCTGAATGGGGCTGACAGCTAAAGCTATCTGCTGACAGCACTTCTAGGAGTCCGGGCCACAAACCCTTCCATGAAAAGGGATCTGTGTGTTGCATCCCTGTGTCTAATACAGATGTATGTAGATATATTCTTATATTTGCATAGAATATCTGTGGAGGAATGCACAGGAAATTGGTATCAGTTGTTACCTCCAAAGAGAGGATATAGGTGACCAGGAGAGCAGAGTGGAAAGAGGAAATGCTCTAAGGAGACAGTCCTTTGTACAGTTTGAATTTTTCCATCATGTTAAATGAATACGTACATTGCAAACATGAACTTGAGTTGAAATATCAGTAAATAAATAAAAATTGAAATAAATTAAGAAATAATTCAGAACCTAAGGAAATAAAATGTTTTGTTTCTAAAACACTTTCATTTGGCAGGTATTGATGGAATACCTATCACATGCCAGGATCCTGGAGACCCAAAAGTGAAATATAGACAAAACCCCTGTTCTTATGGATCTAAAAATATACCACATCCCTAGTTAACCAAATGGGTATAAATATTTAATTCTACCAAGTTTATATTCTTATTTTTCAATCCAAACCAACATATCCATTTGGGTTGTATGAATAGTAATATTAATAAACTGGTTTGTTATGGAATTGCCACCTGATTTTACACAAAATCCAAAGAGTATATCCACAACACAGTGTTTTACAACATTCGTTTTGTTTTAGCTTTAACATTAACCTTTGATGTTAATGCCTGTGTTTCTATTTCTTCCTTTCCCTCCCTGTTCCCCCACATCATCTTATTATGTAAATTTTATATGGTCCTGAATCTTTTTCAGAATGAGTGTGGGTATATATAAATGAAATATAAATGCTCTAACACCGTATTTATGGTCCATGCTGTGCTGAATATAATAAGGCATGTGGGATCAACAAGGTTGAAGCAGAACACTAAAAATTTATGGTACCCTGTAACCAGAACACCAGTAAAAGCAATACTACTACTAATAAAAATGCTAGCAGTTAGCTTTCTTCCAGTATTTGCACCAAGCCTCACTGTTAATCATTTACTTCCTTACAATTCCATGGGGTTTAAGACGTAGGCCTTAGAGAGCATTTGCTTCTGAAAGACCCTGTTTTCAACAAATTTAGAAATCTGATCCAGTCTGAAGCCTTCACACTTATTTGTAAGTTTGGTGAGTCAGAATCACTGTAATTGCTAAATGGTAATTCTTATGAAGCTACCTGGGGGAAAAGTATTATCCCTCACATAACACAGCAAGGTTTTAATAGGAATTCTTGGCTGGGAAGGGACACCACTGGAAGTAAGAATTCAATTTTGCTTTCTGGATAAAAAGAAGTAAAGGAGAAAATTACGATAGGTTCTGAAATTTAGGAAAATGGAGGAAAGAAGTTGTTTCCAGAGACTTTCTATAAAAAGCACATGTGATTGCTGATGTGACATTGATGAATATAGATTGAAATGAGTTTATTCACTCCATTTTGTGATGAGATCACTCACTAGTTAGAGATGCCATGCAATTAAATTAAATACAAACTTGCTAAAAACAAGGGAATTGAAAGGGCAGAATTCTACCTGACATCCCGTAACATGAATGGCTTTGAAAGTGTCATTGGAAAGCGTCACTTAGGTGCAAATCCTTAGAGGTTGGAATTTAAAAGAGAATGAACACATTTCTAGGTTACATGAGACAGAGGTTATCAGGATCCTCATACCCATGAAGAACTATTAGAAGAAAATAGAAAGGGAAGAAATATACAGGTTCATCAACTTGTATAAGTTCATTCTTAAATAACAATAGTAAATAACTATTCAATTAAAAAAAGGTTAAAAAAAAGAAAACAGGTAAGTCAATCTGAAAATGTCCCTATGTACATTATCTTGAACAATTAAAAAATTTAGGAATCAAATGCATATATCTACATTTGCTGAGAGATATTTGTTCATCCAGTTTGGGCAAATGTCACAGAATTTAGAGTCAAAGGCCTAGGACAAATTCCCACCTCTACCACTCACAGGGCTTGGACAAGTTAACTGTTTGGAACTTATGTTTTCATTTGTAACAGGGTTCCCCTGTAACAGGGTTCCCCTGTTCTTGAAGAACAGGGTTCTTCAAGAAACAAACATTTTTGATCGCCTTACTATGTGTGGGCTCAAGGATATGGAAATCCACAAGACATGACGTTGGTTTGCCAGAAGCTTGTATTCTTTGGCAGATGGTGATACTGAAATCACAGGATTGTTGAGATGACTAGAAGAGTGAAAGTGTTTGCTAAACTATAAGATTTTATGCAATTTTTATTAATGAATAAAGTGATTCATAGTTTGCTAATGGGAAGACATAAAAATTAGGCATTTAATAAAGAAATGTTAGATAAACTTTATTGCCTCACAAGATTTTATAATCCTGTTCTTCCCAACCCCTTCCTTTGCAATGTAATATAATACTGATTTGTTTATTTATAACTCTCCCTTTCAATTCTGTTCCAAACAGGGATAAGACTTTCCCAGTCCTACTCCATTAACCACCATGACCAACTATGTCCATAATATAAAAGCTAACATGACATTCATTCTTACCAGGCTCAATTCTTTCTCTGTGGAATTGGGAGGATGAGGTGAGGCAGACATTTCATCTTACTCCTAATTCCCATCTGCTTTAATATTGCTGGGATGCGCAGAGTCATTCATTCAATATCTCTTCAAATCTGCTTACTATCCTAGGTTTGCAGCAATATCATTTGAGGGGTAAAGATTTCCCATTTGGGCAGGAACATTCAGTGCCCTGGGGATGTGTATTCCATTCTCTTGTCCATGGTATATTCTTGTGGCATCTTTTAGATCATTTATATCAAACTTATAAGCTCACTGATGGTCATCAGTGCTTCGACTGGGAACCTTACATTTGACACCAAAACAACTGCCTGCTTCAGGAGAGTATTTGCTACCCTAATATGTTGTTACTTCCTTGGGATATGGTATTTTGGTTTTCACCCAGTTTTTTATAAAATAATATAAGCCTAAATGAGCATAAGATTTTTGTATTTAGAGCATGGGAAAGAAAAGCTTATTAATTGGAAAGCATGCATAAGGGAAGAGGACGGATCTTAGCTAGCCAGTGAGTTCCAATTACAGTGGTATTGAATCATGTTAAAGTTGACTTAAAGGGGTCATACACCAGGGCAATCCCCCCTTTTCCTTACTTATAATAAAAATGATGGATGCAGTGAAATCAAGAATGAACATTTGTGAAACCAGTGGAAACATTTGTGGGTAGTTTTAAGACACAGTGTTCAAGTAGTAGATAAATGTTTGGTGATGGTGTGATCAATATCCTTAAGAAAGGAAACAAGTAGGATTGAGGGCCATCGATAAACAAGTACTATTGAAAGAATGAAAGAAACTAGGTTAAATTCACAAATTACACGTATAAGACTATATGGGTGATTTAAAGGATTTTTAAAGGTAATTTTGACTATTGGAGATTTTCACTTTACTCATTAACCTTCAAACCTAAGATAAAGCTCCGCTGTATACCAATACAAACAAAAAACAAACCAATTTCTTGGTTTCGTTTTCAAAGATGTGGCTCTAATTGCAATAAAAAACAATATCAAGCATGAAAATAAAAGGTACTTAGTAAAATTATAAGTAAAATAATAGAAGGAAGAGAATATTTTATATTTTAAAGGGTAAAAGTTAATCATACAGTTGAATAATAAATGGAAACCCAATGCATGATTAATAAATGGTCCCTGGGCTTCCCTGGTGGCGCAGTGGTTGAGAGTCCGCCTGCCGATGCAGGGGACACGGGTTCGTGCCCCGGTCCGGGAAGATCCCACATGCCGCGGAGCGGCTGGGCCCGTGAGCCATGGCCGCTGAGCCTGCGCGTCTGGAGCCTGTGCTCCGCAATGGGAGAGGCCACAACAGTGAGAGGCCCGCGTACCGAAAAAAAAATAAAATTAAATTAAAAAAAAAATGGTCCCCAAAGAAATTTTGGGAACTATTAGGTCAGTAAAGCCAGAGAAGCTTCTTTTCCTAAGTCCCTAATGCCTATCTCAGAAGCTACATATGCTTAAGGAGGAAAACTCTCTTTACACCCATAAGAGCAATTAGTATCGTATTGAGTTGACGTGGGAAAGTGCAGAGGGCTTGCTGGGTGGTCTTGGTAAATTTTTTACTTGGGTAGATTAACCTCTGAATTTAATTTACCTCATCTATTAAATGGGGGTAATAATACCTTGAAGGGCTATTATGAGAATTGGGTGTAATGTATTTAAAGGTCCTTACCATAGTGCTTGGGCTCCTAAAAAGTAGAGACTGCTATGATTATTACATTAACACCTGGCCTGGGCTTCCCTGGTGGCGCAGTGGTTGGGAGTCCGCCTGCCGATGCAGGGTACATGGGTTCGTGCCCCGGTCCGGGAAGATCCCACATGCCGCGGAGTGGCTGGGCCCGTGAGCCATGGCCGCTGAGCCTGCGCGTCCGGAGCTTGTGCTCCGCAACGGGAGAGGCCACAACAGTGAGAGGCCCGCGTACCGCAAAAAAACAAAAAAACAAAAAACACCTGGCCTGGGCTGGGCACCATTATGATGACTTGAAGAAATTCATTCACAACCTTTACTTCTAAATCAGAAAGTTTCAAGAACAATCATAGAGGAGATTGATACAATATTCATTAATGCAATATTTAATCGTCTTGCTTATTCTCTGGTTTCTAAAATTCCAATAATAAAAAATTATAGAATTTTAAACAAGAAGAAAATAAATGGAGGAAAACTATATTTTTTTCTTTAGTCAGGTTTATTTAATTTTCAGAAAATATACTTTCAAACAATAAAATTACACGATTAGTGACAACTATGACAAAGAGATGAGCACAGCTTATAACTTATAACCACAAAAGAAGAATACTTAGTTCAGTGATTATCATCCGAAACGTGATGACTCAGTGATGATAGATTATAGGGCAATGAAACAAAAGCCAAATTCTGTTTGTCTTGTAGTCCTGTTTTAAAGAACTTTGGTGGGAGAATTCTTATTGCTTCTTGGAAAGTGATATCGATGTTATAAGTCCCATATCTGACTACCTTGACTGGAATTGCTGATGAGATATGGCAGTTTTCTTCATCAAAAGGGAAGTATTTGAGCCAGCTGAAATATAAGATGAAACTCTCCTTAAGGTTATGACTTTACCGTTCTGATTGTTTGGGACATCCTTTGGGGAACTATAGTATTTTGAGTTGCTTCTCACAAAAGAGAGCTGGGTTGGACCAGAAGGCTCTAAAATCATTTGAGAAACGAATAATATACTCTTGACTGAAATGTTAATTCCTTATTCAATCTGGGAGTGAATGGAATGTCCTGCACTTAATGAAATAAAAGTGTTTGATTTAGATCTCTTACCAGTTTAATCTTTCATTCATAACCCACCTTTCCCCTCCTTATTTAAAGAAGTGGGGATAATTGAGAGAAAAACAGTCATAAGGGCATGCAAAGAATGTCTATTGCTCCCTTCCACAAATATTCACTGAACACGCATGTGCCAGACGCTGAGAATAAGCCCTCCCTGAGCGGTACGTGTATCACCTTTGGACCTCAGCTTCTAACAATCACATTATAGGGATCATATTCTTCTTTAACAACAACAACTAACTAGGAGATACAGACTTCCACCAGCTACCTGTCCCCCCCACCTCTAAATCAGGTTTTGCTCATCTTTTCGGTGTGTATAGTAGTAAAAAAAAAAAAAAAAATACAGTCAGAGACAGGCTGTACTACAGCACAGCTTAAATGACTTACCTGCATTACAATTACCGCGAGGGTAGCTAAGTGAGGGGTGTTTAGGAAAGGAACTTTATAGCTTGAATGCACTTCTAGTATATGATAGGCACTGCGGTAAGCAGTTTACATCCTTTCTCTTAAATTCTACATATTATTCCTATCTGAGCTTAATTTCCTCATCTAAAAAAATGGGATAATACTTCGAAACCCTCTCAGGAGGATTAAATGGGACTTATAGAAAGGAAGGTAATTAATATTTATTGAATAACTACTATGGGTCAAGCCCTGCGGTTTGTTCCTTCACATACTTTATCTCTTTCATTAGCTCCATCTTAAGAAAATGAGGTTAAGCAGAAGTGACCAAAGCTATTTTTCCCCAGTAGAGGAACCTTGACCAAGAACCCAGAAAACACATATTTACGAAGTGCTTACAATGTGTCAGGCATTTTTCTTGGTTGTAGTGAACAAGACAGAGGTCTGTCTCAAAGAGGTTTGGCATACTCATTCAGAAAATGTTTGGGGCTGAGAGGGGGCAGATAATGGCTCATATAGAAGAAAAATCAGTGGCACTGTTTTGGGCCAAGGTACGTTTCAGATGCCTATTAGACATCCAACGGGTGAGGCTAGGAGGTGGAGAGATACGTCTGGAATGTAAGGGAGACATCTGGGCTAGAGATAAAACACTGTGAGTCATTAGCACATAGATAATGTTTAAAGCTATGGTGCTGAATGAGATTTCCTGGGAAAAATGTGTAGGTGGAGAATACCGTTAAGGGCAGAGAGTCCCGAGGCCCTCCAACAATTAGTCATCTGAGAGACGAAAAGTATTCAAGAACCACAGAAGTGACCAATGAGGTAAGTAGAAAATCGCATGAGTTCAGGGTCATGGAAGCCTAGAGAAAAGTTTCAAGGAGGGAGTCATCACCAGTGAAGCTACCTAAAGGTGCATAAAATACAGAGAACTGGCCACTCATTTTGGCAAAAAGCTACCGTAAAGGCGCATAAAATACAGAGAACTTGCCATTCATTTCGCCTTTCACTGAACAGGTATTTATTGAGTACCAACTCCGTACTAGATACTGCTCAAGGGACTAGATAACTGCTCAAGGGACTAGAGTAGAGATACACCTGTGAACAAAACAGAGGAAAATCCCTGTCCTCATGGGTTTCACATTCTAGTGAGGGGGGAAAAAGATAAACAATTAAATTATAGTATGCTAGTTCATTCTGAGCCCTTTACAGGAAGCGCAAGCAGAGGCGAGCGCTCTGGGTACGGAGAGTGGGGCTGCAATGTCAAATAAGCACAGTCAGGCTCTGGACTGGGAGCTGGCACCTGTCTGTCGTTACATCAAGGAAGGAAGCTTCCCTTTGCTTCTGAACGGCACTCGGTCTCCTTCAATTGACTTGAAGGACACCGGGGTTGGGGGGAGCGGGCGGCGTGTGTGGAGTGGGGAAGGACCCTTACTGGGGCCCTACTTGAAAGATTCAAACTTAGCAAATGGAATCTTGCCTAGAGTGCTGGGAGGGCAAGCCCTCCTCATTGTGTCGCTGGCAGTCAGAGGAGGATCTAATTCACACGAGGAAGACCTTTAGAAGATAACCGTGGAGCCACACATGGGAAGAGCATCCCAGGGAGAGGGCCCAGCAAGGGCAAAGACTCCGAAGTTACGGAGCATTTAAAAAAATAAAAAATAAAAAAATAAAATAAAATAATCAGGGAAGACAGCACAGAAGTGATCTGTGAAGTCCTGAACGAGCAGAGGGAATGAGCGAGGCAGGTGTCTGGAGGAAGAGGTTTAAAGAGGGAAGAACACGTGTGAAAGTGCCTGGGAAGCTGTAAAGACTCAGGAGGATGCCAGAGTGGCTGCGGCAGAGTAGGTGAGGAGGAGGGTGACTGAATGAGGCTAGAGGGGATCGGAGCCTTCATTTTGAGACAGGAAGCCCGGGTTTTGAGCAGAGGAGTGCCATGCAGGCTACGGTGTTGAGCAGACACTGTTGGGACCAGGGATGAGAGTGGGGAGCAAAGGCTGAAGCAGGGAAATTAGTTTAGAGGCAATTGCTATAATTTAGGTGAGAAATGGTGGGCCTTGGGCCAGGTGGTAAGTGAATGCAATGAGAAGTTTAGAGCAGGGGTCCCCAACCCAGGTTCCAGTCCGCAGCCTGTTAGCAACTGGGCCACGCAGCAGGCGGTAAGCGGTGGACAAGCGATGGAAGCGTCATCTGCCGCGCCCCATCGCTCACATTACAGCGGCCTGAACCATCTCCCACACCCCGACCTCCTGCCGCCCCCGTCCGTGGAAAAATTGTCTTCCACAAAACCGGTCCTGGTGCCAAAACTGTTGGGGACCACTGGCTTAGAGACTAGTCTCAATGTTAAAGCTGATGGGATTTGCTGATTAGCTGGATGTAGCCTGTGAAAGAAACCGCCAAGCAGGATGCTAAGATTATCTGCCTGGGCGGCTGGAAGGATGGAGTTAAGGTGGGGAAGACGCCAGGAAACTGGGAATTGTTTTTGGACTTGGGAGATCTACTGCTTAAGGGGAGAGGCTGGCCTCAGTGGGAGTCATGGCCAGTTCTTCACGAGAGTATCTGCGGGCAGAAGAGGAAGCAAGTTCTTTCTTGGTGGTTTCTATTTTTTTCAGTGACATAGCAGTCAAGGTCATCAGCCAAGAGGGAGTATGCAGGGAGGTGTCTGAAGTTTGAAGAGAGACACAGTTGTCGAGGGGAGGAGGGGAATGAAGAAACCGGGGTAACAAAGTAAAATTCACCAGCAGCATTAAAGGCCCACTTGACCTTGACGTGGTTGCGTTTCCCTTCATCCATATTAAGGTGCACAGGTATGGGTTTGGAGTCGCAAGAGAGCTGGAATCATCTGTGACTGGCGGTTTGCTGAGTACAATGGAACAAGGAGGAGGGGAAAGACATTTAGAGTCCAAGGAATTCACTCACCTGACTGCCAGGGGTAAGAGAGGAAGTGAAAACAACCACCACTGACAGCTTCAGGGGAAACTGTATCCCCAGGGGAGAGACAGGATTCACTCAGAGCAAAGAAAGCAAAGGAAGCATTCAAAAGGATAAGGATACAGGGGATTTCTTATTCTTGGTAAAGCAGTTTCAGTGGCTGTGATGCCTCTGGATCGGAGTGGGTCAAGGAGCAAGGGAGAAGTTGACAGAAAAGCAGATCACTATTTCAAAAAGCGTTGCTCTAAAGGCGCTGGAGTTAGCTGAAGGGTGGTTGAAGGCAAGGTTTCTGTGTGTATTTTAACGTGAAAAGTATTACAGCATGTTTTTATACCAGTGGAAGAGGGTAAAAAATTAACAATGCAAGAAAGAAATGGGATAAATGTGGGGATCTTTGCAGAAAGCAAAGCCCTTGAGAAGGTCAGCAGACATTGGATCCAAGGCATAAGTGGAAGAACGAACTTAGAATTCGGCAGAAGGAAAGAGGCAAAGAAAGCTGAAGGCAGGAAGGTTGATGGAAACGTGAAATGGGAAGATTTGTTAGTTCTTGGGAATGAATCTACTTATCTCTGAAAGTATGAGGAGGTTACCATCTGAGAAGCGATGGGGGGGAGGAAGATTGGGTATTTGATGTCAGATAAATAGCTGTGAGGAGAAATGGTCACCAGGTAGGGAAAACGAACTAACTAGGGAAGTGTAGTAGGTTTGTTTGACAGCATGGAGTGCCCACCTGAGAGGTGTGGTCATAAATCTGAAGTGAGATCAGTCAACATAGTTGTGTACTTTTTCCCATCAGGCCTGGCTGCTTTGGTACAGGTGCCAAGTAACTGGCTCACAAGGACTGTGGGTTTTGTCAGGTGAGTATGATGCGGGGGGGTAAGATACAAGGGGGTTAGGATGTTTCCAATAAAGTGGTGAAAATGCTGGGCCATCATCTATGCTTCATAAGGAAGGAAGCAAGGATATGAAAGGAGTCATGGACAATGACAAATGGTAAGATCAAGGGACTGGAAGTCTGGATGAGGTTAAAGACTTGCTGGAGTGAAAGAACTGGGGTAAATGAACTCAAATGGTTCAAGACGATAAACCGAGAGGGGGGTGTATGAGGTTATAATTTAGAAGATGGTGTATTAGTTTCTCTCCCAATTAAATAAAAGCATTAACCAAATAAAACCTTAAGATCAAGATGGTGTTGCTTTTGGCTACATTAAAAAAAAACACTTTCTGATTACATCTCTGGGTTGGTCACAGTTTATTTGGCTAGGAGAGTTTGAGTTAATATCACTTGATTTGAATTTTACAACAGATCCCAATATAAGATGAGTGCCCTGGGTTACAATATAGGCAAGCACTACAGCATATAGGGGAAATCTATAAAATTGTTTTGACATCAACATTGAGGCATATATATGTCCTTGACTTTTCATATAAATTTATGATATCAATATTAAAATAAGAAAATGCTCATTCTGTAATTAAGTAGACATTTTCCAATGAATTCTATTATCCTAACAACTTTAAAGAGTAATAGGAATTCTCTGGGAGTATATATAAAAAAAATTAAAGGAAAATATTTTGCTGTTAAAGGGTTTAGAAATAAACACAAAAAACATTCACTATAAAATTTTTATTCCATTGTATTGCCATTTAAAATACAAGAATAGGGCTTCCCTGGTGGCGCAGTGGTTGGGAGTCCGCCTGCCGATGCAGGGGACACGGGTTCATGCCCCGGTCCGGGAAGATCCCACATGCCGCAGAGCGGCTGGGCCTGTGAGCCATGGCCGCTGAGCCTGCGCGTCCGGAGCCTGTGCTCCACAACGGGAGAGGCCACAACAGTAAGAGGCCCATGTACCGCAAAAAAAAAAAAAAGAAACAAAAAAAAAAAACAAGAATATAAGCAAATATCATCCAGTTGTCAGAAGATCTGCAGCATTTAGTGACAAATCAATAGCTTCATGGAAATTTTCAATTCATTAAAAAAAATACCTGAGTCATTTAAGTAATAATTAAGATGAGCTTTGTCTCTACGTATAATAAACTTCCACTTGGCTTATACAATTCCATTTTCTCCAACGGGAAGCTGTGTAGGATCCAGTCCTACCTTCTTCATTGATACGGCAACATCAAATAAATAGTCATAACACTCACACCTGTTAAAAAATAAAAGCAAAAAGAACTAAAAGTGTTCAGTGAAAAGAGAGTTCTCCAATCCTAACAATCACATTTTTCCTCTGCATCAAGTTAACCCTGTTCCTAGCAGATTTTTTTTTCTTTCCTCAATTCTAGGCAAGTTTCTCTTAGTCTGTCTCCAACATTATTAAAACACGGAATCATACTGAATCATGCCACCATACTATACACTTCTCAGGAAATAAAAGGGAGTTTAAAATATACTACTTATGTGAATTTAAATTTTTTATTATGTGCCATTTTTTGAAATAAATACAGCAGATCTTAATGCAACTTGGGTTAGCTTTATTCTAGCCCTCAACTCAGAGAACAAGATCTGTATCTCCTTCTTTGTATCAAAGAGCATAGTGCCTTGCCAAATAACAGCTCATCTGAAAAATATTTCTTAACAAAAGAATATATAATACAAATAAAATATCTAGAAATAATTAATGATAAACTATTTAAATTTAAACCAATTTGACCAGTAACACACAAAAAAATCATACTCCGTTTTCAATCATAAAACACATTTCATTCTCTTTTAGAGTGTGGTGACTTGCCCCGGACGTTCTTTGGTTTCGGTTTACACTTACATGCTTTTAGCCTTCTCCCACGTCTCTCCCCAGACATAGACTCCATGCCGTCTGACTAGTACTGCACAGGAGTCTGGGTAATCATTCATTGCTCGGGCCATTCGCTCTTCGAGGTCTTTCTCCTCAGGTGTATTCTCAATAATGGGTACTACTAACATATCATCATATCTATTAAGACAAAACAAGCCATTTGCTTTCCTTTTTAAAACAAATAAAGGCATTCATATATAAAATTTATATTTCTCTCAAATAACAAGTTAGACGTTCTCTTTATATCTGAAAAGCCACTCCAAATTAGGAACAAGATGTTGCATGTTATTCTGTGTATCTTGTATAAACAACTGTATCAAGAGACACCTTGGGAATTTGGCAGGCATTGTTCCAATCCTAAGTATAAGTGGCAGAAATTTGTACAGGATACCAAAACCTAACAAAGAAATTATCAAGATCATACAAGTATTTCCCTGAAGGATAGAGAATCACAGTAGTTTTAACAGGAGATGAGAAATGATAAATTTCAGAATTAGAAGCATAGGAAGGATTAACAATTGAACTACTTATTAAGGCAGGAATTTCCCAACGATACAAAATCATTCTGTTCTATCTCTGCAGGACCCAAAAGTGTCTTGGATAGACAAATAAATAAATGCAGGTGTGGTTTATGGCCCTGGGATAGCAAAAACCTTTTGGAGCTAACTATTAAAGGTATGACAATATTTTCAGAACGTTCTCAAATCTGTGACATTAGAACTTCTTTACCTTATTTTTAGTAAGTACATGTGATGAAATCAGAATATGCATTTTTCATTTTTGTTTCTGCAGTAATATTTAAGCAAATAGCTTGTTACTGGTAAAACTATGTCTATTTGTGAGGTCATTTACAACCAATCAAAACTCAGACATGTTTTCCTTTTAACATGAATTTCTCTTGCCTTGTTAATGTTACATCTGCTTTTCAACTACCTCTGTGATGGCTAAACTTAACCAAAATAAGTTCTATCCATATATTATCAGAAGTTACTACTTTAGGGAAGGTACAGACTGAGTAGCTGTCATGTGATAAAGAACCTGGCCAACCATTATCAGGAACAGTACGAGGTTGCCCATTACTTCACTTAAGTAAAATACAGGTAATTATAAAATATCCTTAAATGTGTAAGGAATAAATTGCTAGTCCCAAATCTTTCCTAGTATTGGCCAGGAGAACCACAAACTTATATTTTCCTCTACCATATACCGAACAGTCAGAAATATCTCCAGGTGCAAAATAATTCACAGCAAAATAAGACCTGAGGAACAGAGCCAGGGTAGTCCTTTGACCATCAAACAGTATTCTTTTCATTCTACCATAGGCATGTTGCATCCAAAAGGTACAACAGTTATAGTTAACATGGTAACCTCCCCCGATAAGAATTAGGCATTTGAAAGTTATTATAAGTTTTTTTAAGATGGACTTAAAAATTTAAAAAGTAGAATAGAAAATGTAAAAACTCCATTCTTTCTTACTCATCCACCTTTTATTGCCCCTTCTTTTGACTGGACACTTAGGATTCTCCCCAAATACTGATGAAGTATCACTGCCCCTGAGCTGTGATAATGACCCTGTTACTGATTTCCCAGCCAGGTTCAAACAGAATTGCAAAAGCATGTCAAAAAACTTTGTACTCTTTAAATTCTGAGACATTCAAAATAATATATAAAGTGTATACATTGTGATGCATAACAAATGACATCTTTTCATTCATGGCATTTGTTTTTCCACAAAATTCCAAAGGCTCTCTATTGTGCTCCACTCCTCTCCACCGTCTCACACGTTCTTCTGACTTTTTTTTTTTTTTTTTTTGCGGTACTTAGGCCTCTCACTGTTGTGGCCTCTCCTGTTGCGGAGCACAGGCTCCGGACGCGCAGGCTCAGCAGCCATGGCTCAGGGGCCCAGCCGCTCCGCGGCATGCGGGATCTTCCCGAACCGGGACACAAACCTGTGTCCCCTGCATCGGCAGGCGGACTCTCAACCACTGCGCCACCAGGGAAGCCCCTTCTGACCTATTTTTATTTCTTCACCAAAGCAATCAAATGCCGATGAAACTGATAGCACACATAATGCCTCTCCTTCAAGACCCAGATATGGAAAAGGCAATATGCGGCTATGCTTTTTTTAGTATGTACACTTTCATAATTTAAATATTTAACTTTTGTAAATAGGTGTTTCCCAGTGCTGAGGAATGCTTTAGGCACACAATAAATATTAACTAAAATCAAGTCCAATTAACTTCTCAGCACACTAGTTTAAACACATACAGTCTATTATGTGCAGTAACAGTAAGATATTGCTGTAAGAACACTTCAGAAAAACTGGCACCCTTTTCCTCTAAACAAGGCAAAGTGGATTCAGCCCCTTTAGGAATTTGGGAAGGGTGAAGGCTCAGGAACAAGAATGCCTGTACATTCAAACAAAATGCCGAGCCTGTCCCTGAGCCCTGGGAACGTGTTTCTTCATGTCACTACTCTAGATTGACGAATAATTGCTACATTTCTGTGGGCTGGTGGGTTTAGCTGATTTTATCCAGAAGGCCTCTATTCTATACTATCTATGCCAGTTTCCACACTGAAAAATTATAAATGTATAGAGATCTACTTAATTAAAATAATTATAAAACTTTTTTAAAAATGAAAATATTCCAGAAATACTACATGAGATCAAAATGAAGCATAAGATTTAGTCAGAGCTGAAACTTCCTGAAGACAAAGTGAAGGTGAGGAGAGCTTGCTCTTGGGGTTCTTCAATAAAGGAACACACTCTTTCCAGCTCTGTAGATATCTCAGCCAGGATTTTTGCATTTTACTCTGACAAACATTTAATTATTCATGTTGGCAATAATTTACCAAGGCTGGGTTGGGGATGGGGAAAAGGAGGGGAGGCATCTGATTTGTGTCACTGAGAATAGATCTGGAAGTATAATATTAAGGGGGGTACTATCTAACACAGATCTACAACATCTCATTAAATACATAAAAAGATCAGTATCCTGTTTATTACAAGAAGGAGAAATACTGTTCAAATTTTTTTTTTTTTTTTTTTTTTTTTTTTTGCGGTACACGGGCCTCTCACTGTTGTGGCCTCTCCCGTTGTGCAGCACAGGCTCCGGACGTGCAGGCTCAGCAGCCATGGCTCACGGGCCCAGCCGCTCTGCGGCATGTGGGATCTTTCCGGACTGGGGCACGAACCCGTGTCCCCTGCATCAGCAGGTGGACTCTCAACCACTGTGCCACCAGGGAAGCCCTGTTCAAATAATTTAAGCAAAAAATAGGGGAAAATACCTGTAATACCCTCCGGAGATACATTTCTTTATTCCTTTGATCATCTCTTGATGTGTAATTTTAAACTCCCTTCCTGGGAAAAGAAGGGTGGCCATGACAGCAGCTTTAGAGTGGGTATGAATCACAGCACCTGCTCCTGGAGGGGGAAGAATACAGTTATATGCTCAGTGAAAACTAAATTGCACCTTTTAAAGAAAAAAATATATACACATAAACACACACACTTATTTGTATATGGCTCTGGACTCGTTTTTCTTGGCATGGAATAATAAGTTGGCAGCGGGTAGGAGGGGAGAAAGGAAGAGAGGAAAGAGAACTACTGATAGAGAAGTCAGAAAGCACAAGGAAAAAAAATTAAGCTTTATCCAGCATCAGGACAACGCACGATACTTTACACATGCTCAAGAAATATCCTTTACATGGTCTGAAATACAACTATAATGACTGTGGAGATCATAATCATAATACTACCACCACTCAATTAGGGATTCCTATGTGCCAGGCACTGGGCAAATCCCCTTTACAGATGTTATCTCTTCGTATCATCACAACAACCATCTCCCCCATTTAATGGTCAAGGACATGAGGCTCAGAGATGTTAAATAATTTGTCCATGGTTATTTAACTACGTTGTCCAACTAGACAGTAGTTGAAGAACTTGGATTTGAACCCAGTTTAGTCTGTCCCTTAATCATCAAGATATGCTTCATAGTGTAGGCCATATCTTAGTAACATAAGGGGATGGTAGGAATTTTAAGATATAGATGCAAGGGATTTACCTAAAAAAGAATTTGTATGCTATAAAACTCAGTAATGGCTACTTTTGCAATGGGAAGTTTATTTAGCTTTTTGCTAGGAAAGATTCTTCATGCTGTTAGAATCTGTTGCTGAAGTTTCATCCTTTCAGTAGTAGCTGATAATGTCTGGGAACAGCACATGGCATGATTACTAACTCTATATTGATTTTATTCAGGGGCTATACTAAAGCATGGTCCTAATGACTTCATTGCTAAGGCTGAGCCAGTACTTCAGTTATACTTTCCTATTTTTACATTGTCCTCTAGGTTCAACCTTTCCAGGTTGGTTTTCTACCACAATTTCTGGGAATTAAAGTAAGAGTCCTATTTTTATCATAAAGTAAATTTTTCAATCACTCCTACTGAAGTGAAGAAAAGGTCATGATTTTCCCTCATTTGTATTTTGATTAACTTCTACTACAAGTTCCCAGAGATATAACTCTGAACTAAGAGTAGGAATTGGATTGTAAATATAATATTTAGTTGGCTAACTTGACAATCTAGTGGAATCATATTGATCTAGGTTGGAATTCTGGCCCCAATACTCACTGGCTGTTTATTTTGGGAAAATCTTCCTAGAGCCTCTGTCCTCTCATATATAAAATGAGGTAATAATGGACCTCCCACAGAGGCTGATGTGAGGACTGAATGAGTTAACATATTTAAAGTCCTTGCACATAGCAGGTATTCAAGAACTGTGAACTACAACAACAATTGCCATTATTTACAGGAGCCTACTCTGCAAATATTCTTTACGTTGAATACATTTTCTGCCTACCTCTCATTGTGTAAGCATTCATGAAAAGAGGAGTACACTGGCTTTTTTTAAGATTCTTATATGGTGGAGGTCCACTTATGTCCTTTTCATTGATGTCACAAACAAACATGTCTTCAGGCTATTTAGAGGGGGAAAAAGAAAAAAAGAAGGCTTATACAATATCAATTAGAAATGTCCCCTTTCTTGTGTGTGTGTGTGTGTGTGTATATATATATATATACATACACACATATACACAATTCCATTTATATATAGTATATATAAACAGTGCTAATATATATACATATTTAACTCATATTTTAAATATTTATATAATTATAGTTTCTCTCTCAAAATTTTTTAGCCATTTTGAAAAATAAAAAAATGTTTTCTACTAATAAAAATCATCTCAAGAAAGTTAAAAAAATCGACCTTTAGAATTTGAAGAAAAAAGTGATATGGAAAATTTAATATGCATGTAATGATGTTGATGTCATTTCATCAACTTAGTTTCTCAGCTTTGCCATGTAATTTCACAACTATATTTCAGAGATACTATATATAATCATTTTAGAATGGGTGTTATAATTTTTTTCACATTTCATAATATAAGAGGAAAAATACAGAGTAAAATTTTCTTATCCCTTGAGAAACTTAACTGCTACTGAGAAATGTTAATCTCGATGACGTACTTTATTTTTAAAGTTCTAAGGAATTATGTAGATCCACAGGTTTTTCCTAGTAATACATGCGTATCTCTGACTTGTAACTTTCGTTTACCAGGGTTTATTACAAACTACAATATAAATGTTTTATTAATGAAGCACTATGCCTTAGACAGAATTAAGTATTATGTGCTTGTTTTAACTCTATTCTGGGTTTATTCTAGCATTAATACAGAATGGGTCTTCTCAAAATGTTGATACAAAGTTTTATAACTTTAAATTGAAAGAGCTTTGCCATTATTAAATATGAATCAGTTTGGTCCATTTGAGACCACCAATCTGATTACCCTATTAGCCTGATAAAGATGGTGTTATAATGCTGCAAAGTTAGAATCATTTTTTATTATGACTTAAGATTGCACTATTCGCTTTTGCCCTCTAGAGGCTGAATGAGAATTCAAAACACCTGATTGCAAGCAGGATACTTAACACCTTAAAAAATTTTAATAGTTACTTAACAAATGTTTGTTGATTAGTATTTAAATCATCACAATATAACCTCCCTTCAAAACTAAGATTTCTTTTAATATTAATTCCATTTCACAAAACAATAATCAAGTAGAGAAGAACAGACATTTGGGTTTAAGAAGTATCCCTTTACCATACCTGAATGCGTTCCTTTTGCACTCCTGAAGGAGCAATGTAGATTTCATTGCTGGTAACACAAAATACAGAAATTGGTATTTATTTAACTCTAACGTTCTGCTTTTGCAAAAAGAAAAGTATACCCTTGCAGTCCAATCATTAATGATCTTTATAAATCAAGTCATACAAATAGCTGCTTTATTTAATTAATGGTGTAGGCTGTATAGAAAGAATACCAAATTAATTTTATAATGCTGGTGACACAGTAAAATGTTGATAGTTGCTTTTGTTACATTTTCATATATATTTCTTTATTTCCTTTTATGGTGCAAAATCAATGGTAACCAGGCTTTTATCTGGTTAGGGGAAATACAAATCTGAAAACATAAGTCTTTAGCATCTTTAAGCATGAATAAGCAGAGTTTATCTTACTATACATGGAACACAGTTATTCTAAAGTCCAATCAGGGGAAATATGCTCACTTGGAGTAGATCTCTGCTTGCAAGAAATCAGGGTTAATTTTATTGTTTGAAATGCTCTTATTATAAAACATGACGCTCAGAGACCTCTGCTGGATGGTTTGTTAAATTACAGCATTAACACTGGGCTACTTTTTGGGTGGAACAGTATATGCTTCCTAATTGAAAAACACTTCTATCTTGTGAAAATATTTGGTAACAAAGCCAGAACAATTGCAGAAAGTTAGAAATATAAAAGGCATGGCTACATCTGGAGATCTCTGTGTTACACAGCACATTGTGCTAAGGGAGATGCTATAACAATACCACTTACCACAAAGTGCTTTCAAACTTGCTCTGGAAATTAATCTAAAATCTTCTCTAAATTCTCTCCACCCTCAACAAAGGTCCTTTGGCTCATGTATCAGTTTCAGTTGCTGCCAGAGGGCGTTAAAAAACTGCCACATAATGCAAATGAAGGAAATACCAGCACCTGCGCGCTCCAGCGTCTGCCACTGAGGCATGGACATAGGGACACTGTATAAATATTAACTGTTTCCCAGTGAAAATGAGGATGACTGCCTATATTGAATTGAGCTATCGAAGTTGGGGTTACTAATAAACCTATAGACTAGGAACTTAAAAAAATTTAAGAAAGCACCTTTAAGGATCTACTGGTAAATTAAGGTCTAGAAAATAAATGCCTGATAATGGGAGTGAAATCCAAAGCAGAGTAAGCTTTGTTCAAGCATTCATTTTCACAAAGTACCTATTGCTTTAGAACTTTGTTGCATAAGAAAACCATAAAGTGGCACTCCTCTGGAACCAGTGGGAATGCATAGGGATCATTACTGTTAAAACGGCCCCTTATAAATACCAGGGATCCAAATCTTTTGTCCTCATGTAACATGAAAGAGACTCTAGAATCATGTGTGGTACCTAGTCCAGTCACCTCCGCTGGTAAGTGGACTTGTAGGTCTTCTTGTGTGCGGAGATATTTATGCAGTCCTGGGAACAGACTCAAATAAAGTTCGAAACAGTCTGCTGGTAAATAAACTCCACCTACGAAGTGGGAAAATCCAGGGTTTTTATTCAGTTTGTTCAAATAATTTGGGATGCTAAATGTCTTTTCTTTTTTTTTTTGGCCATGCCACATGGCTTGTGGGATCTTAGCTCCCCGACCAGGGATTGAACCTGTGCCCTCAGCAGTGAAATCGTGGAGTCCTAACCATTGGACCGCTAGGAAATTCCCTGGTATGCTAAACCTATTTTTATTACTGCCTTTATAAAATGGAAATCAGTTTAGACTTTGATCAACTTTGAGTAATTGAAAGATTAGCTAAATAGGTTTTAGAAAAAAGTATACCTACAAAGAAGGAGATACATGGATAAAAATATTAATACAAAGATGACAGAGCCTTTATTTTAGGAGGGAAACATGCCAAAGACTAAAAGTGAAGTATTTACTTGGTACTGTAAGCCACAAACAAAAGCATTTTGAGTTTCAAGGTATTAAGCTTTAGAATTTATTTTCTCCATACTCCCTGCTCTTTCACAATGTGGTAAGCAGGTGAACAAAACACAAGAGTTTATAATACATGTTCAATTTTTATTTACTTAAAAAAAATCCTTTAAACCTTCCTATGATTCAATTATCTTGTCTACAATATAGGTTTATTAATTTTAATTCTAATAGCATACAACAGGATTAGTGTCTCTGACACATAAAAAAATAATGCTGTGAAAGACAGGAAACCAGCCTAAGTACAATGGCTGCTTAGTATCCTGGAATTGCCTTGATTACTGTTATTTTCTTGGTCCTCCATTTCTTCCTTCTGATTTAACTGTTATATGTGTCTTAAGCTATCTTTTTTTTTTTTTTTTTTTTTGCGGTACGTGGGCCTCTCACTGCTGTGGCCCCTCCCGCTCCGGAGCACAGGCCCCGGACGCGCAGGTTCAGCGGCCATGGCGCACGGGCCCAGCCACTCCGCGGCACGGACCCGTGTCCCCCGCATCGGCAGGCGGACTCCCAACCACTGCACCACCAGGGAAGCCCAAGCTATCTTTTATTATATACATTTTTGGCACCATACACCAATAGCACAAGCTGAACTGATAGTAGCCAAACCTTGGAATCAGTAAATAATTTCATATTCCCCAAAGGGCTTATTGCTAGAATTATTCTGGAAACACAATCTATTGGGTTTGTGCTTCATTCCAAATTTATTCGCTCTAAGCATCAGATAAAGAAAACCAAACTTTCACTAACATGAGAATAATACTGCTGATAAAATTATTGATATGGGTCTATGAAGTCATTTAAATATTAGGGAGAAAATTCAACATGTTACTACAAATTACCCATTCTACTCTGTAAAGCAAAAATTTAGTAAGATTCCAAATACAGTGCCATAAAACCGTGGCTGTTTTCACCTGTGACCTCCAGGAGGCTCCTCACCAATTAAGAAGCTGAGGAAAAAGCATTTTACAAACACAATGCAACTTCCCTATAAATTGACTGTAGTGCCATAAAGCCAATTAATTTTAAGAGCTGCCAGTGAGTGTTTTAGGGTGACCACACATAATTTTAGTGCATGGTTCTACAAAGAATTTTAGTTTTACAAAGAACATAGGCTTTATTTCTTTATGATCAAAAATATTCCCTCTTGAGATCTGCAATGGTCCCTTACCTGCATTCTATTTTTAACTTAGCTGTTTTTTTTGAGCCAGTTGGAAAAGTTATTTTAACTCAGTTTGGTAGAAAGCTCTCTTTTGTACATATACAAACTATTTCTGCAAATGCAAAAAAAAAAGCAGTTAACTAAAGGCAATGTTTAGAATATAATTTATTATAAGTAATACAGGTGAGAAACCAAATTACTAGGACTCAACTCCTAAATGAATAAATGAAACAACAAGTGTTGTTATTATAGGACTTTGCTGTGAACAGATCAACTTGAAAGTTTTGGCAAAATAACTTGAAAACCTGCAAAATGCTGATTGACACATTAGCACTGGGTTGATGGTAAGAGAGGACGCACATGACGGATGTCCCATGTATTGATACCATGTGGAACAGAACGTTTCCAGACTGAGAGCCTCCCTACACATGAACTGTGACATTTGTTGACTAAGGGCTCTCCTGTCATTTCCCACAGTTTAATTAATATTTCATGAATTCCTTGGTAATTTGAAGCAGATGAAATTTCAATGGCATCATCTTGTGGTATGCCATAAAATCCCCTTTGTTCAAAATGTTCTGATTACATTTTACATTCCGTTCTTTTCTGAACAATTCAACATTACATAAATATTGTAGTAATCCAATTTTGTTAAAGAAAGTGAATTAGGATAAAGAAATAAATCAAGTTACTCAGTTTTAACATTCAGCCTCCATACAATATTATTCCTAAAATATTTCAGGAGCAAATACATTAATCCTGTTCCAGAGACACTTAAGAGAGTGAGATTCCACAACCTCTATTTTCATTGTTAGTAGGTTACTTATTTCTTCATCCTCTTAAAGGAAAGACAGTGAGTAAGTCTAAAGAACAATTAACTACTATTCATTCCTTCTGTTTCAAGGCCAGTACCTCTTCTTTTGTCCTGTGAACAACATGGACCTGCAGGTGCTATGTCCATTAATAATGATACATGCATTTAGAAAGGCATATTGCCTTTTTTTGGACTCAAAAAAATGTAATTTTTAGAATTTTAGGTGGTTAGTAATCTATATTTAAGTGACTTTAAAATATGTATCTGAACCTTTGAAACAAATCCTGTCTATCCCGAGGGGACCCTTGGTAGTTCCAGACATATGAACATACCCAGCAACATGTTATTTAACTTTGGTACTCCATGGACTGGGGACCAAATTATTCTGATTAGAAATTATGATTCTTAAATCCTTAGATATTTATTATATCTGCAACATCTGCACACTTATTCCATTCAGTTATGCAAATACCTATTTCTCTATTTAGAAACTAAATACCTTCAGTATTATAAAACTGATCATTGGTTGTTCTTTGTACCTAATACATGTTAGGCTCTCTGTGGTCTACTTATATGGAGAATTCTCAGAAATGAAATCAGCCAGAAACTTACCCGTGCTTCAAGCTGATTCCTCCTCCAGTCCCAGTGACCCAGCCCAAATGGTAAAACTGTTTGCAGAGCTCTGGGATCAGGTATTTTGGATGTTCCTTGTCCTTAAAAAGAAGATAATGATTTCTAAAATAGACACTATTTTATCAAATGACTATTCTAGATGATATCTCTATTAAGAAACCAATTTAAGGAAGTTTAAGAAAATCTACCATAGAGAGGTATGGGGAGGGAGAAAATTATTACAAAATATATTTTGTTTTTAATGTTTGGAATGTGGATCTACTATATTATTTTGCAACCAGGAATTATTCAGGGCCATACAGTCTAATATTATGGAACAGGTTGCAAGAACAAGGTGGAGAAATGCCCAGATGATATTACAAAGTATCTACTGAAATGGCTGAAATAAAATAGGATCTAGTGCTGAAAGGGACATGCTTCAGTCTGTCCAGAAAATTTCTTTACACATAACATCTTATTCAATTAAGGCATGATATACATGATATACTATGATAGTTATTTGTTTATTATCTGTGTTGGTTCAATTTTATTTTTATTCTAAAAATGTCCTTTGTTTCATAGCAATTGTATTGTTTTCTCTTATTACAAAAGCAATATATACGTATTATGGAATTATAAAGTCAAGAAAATAATATAAAAAGCACCCAGAAACAATCATAATTAATACTTTCTAGGCCCAATCCTATGAAGATATATGTTGGGATAAACACTGAGCCTTATTTATTTATTTATACTGAGGTATAATTGACATAGAACTTTATATTAGTTTCAGGTGTACGATATAATGATTCCATATTTGTATAAATGGTGAAATGATCAGTACGATAAATCTAGTTGAAATAAGAGCCTTACTTTTAAATGTCTAATGATTACTTCTTTAGAAAACAAAACAAGGCGTTTCCCCCTCTGTTTTAAAGCTAAAATTAATGAAAACAAAAACTATAATAAAGAAATACAATGAATTCCATTTTGGCAGTATAATATACAACCTTACCTTGAAAACAAGTAAAACTGCTGAATAAGTCATTCAAAAAATATTTCAAAATATACTGCTGAGCTGGCAAGAAAATAAGGTTTCACAGCCATAAAAGAAACAAGAGTGAGTCTACCTGGGAGGGAAGTGAGATCCAAAGCCCTAATTTCCCTGAAGGTATTTGCAAATCTCTGGTGACCTCTTCAATTTTGATAGCTATTCATGTCACTAGAAACACAAGATAAAGCCTTGGGTATGCTCAGAATAGGGCATCTAATAGAAAATCCCTACATACACATGGGACCCCAAGGGGCTATACCCTCCAGGTGAAAGTGAACAAGAAGTAGTCACACTGTGCACAGAAGCACAGCTAGCAAACCTGCATATATAAATCTTGGCACTGGGTAAAGGGGAAAAAAACATCTTTGAGTCCAAAGAGGGATTATTATTGAACAGACTAAATTTTCAGCTATTTAATTGGATTTCTGAAATTATGATATTTTCCCAAATTCACTGTTAATATTTTACATACACATTTTATTTTAGATAAATACTACGAATGACCATTTGATGGAGTAGACTTAAATATATAAAATTAAAAACATGGGAATGTTGACATTTTTTAAAAGTTCTGATTGAACACAGGCTTAGGAGTTAATGGACACAAAGGCAAATCTATATTACACCATTTATTGCTTACATGACCTTGGGCCTCAGTTTACTCATCCATTAAATAAGAACATTATGAGGATTAAAATGAGATATAATGGATACAAAGCATGAAGCACAATGTGTGACACGGTCAACATTCGTTTCATTCCCATTTTAACGAGTTAAAAATTCCTGAATTAAAATTAAAAATAGAGTTATATTGGTCTTTCTTACATCTTTCCTTATGAAATCTAGCCAAAATTACCCATGCCCTGTATAATTTGCTATGTCCTTTTTTAGGGATATAAGTGATATTTTAATTACATATTAAATTACAGCTAATGAGAAGACTCCTGCAGTTTTCCAATCCTTAACCATCAACTTGCAGGGCACGTTGCAAACATTATAGAAAACAGTCTGTTATTAAGGGCCTCCCCTTTCCCTTTTGTCTTTCCAGTACTGAGGTATTAGAACAATTAGCCTGCTTCATGCTACAGGAATAACAATGGTAAGGCAGCTGTTGTTAATAAAGTTTCATTCAATCGCTCAAACCCCCAAAATTACAATTTCAAGAAAAATAATCACTTAGCAGCAGGAACCAACAGAGATATTTAGTAAAAATGCAGTCATTTAAGTTATCCAGAATAATAAGAAAAGTAAAAATTAAAATATGTATCTTAATAAGAATTCACAAGAAAGAAAAGGTTTAGTTAGTATTTAGCTCTTCCCTGAATGTCAATATTACTTGCCTGTTATTGTTAGGTCTGTTAGAATAAGAATTTTGAAAGACATATCTAAAGATGGATTACAATCAACTTCTTACAGTAGAGGTTCCATACAGTGAGGAAGAAACATTTAACAGTATTTTGTATATACTTTCAAAACACTAAAGCCTAAACAGTTTTTGAATCAATACTTCATTTCGCCAATTTTTCAATCTAGTTATTTTAAGGAAATCAGCCTCGAATGTCACTGAGATACCTACTCACAGCCAACAATGGCTCTAATCCCTTCCCCCACCTTTTCTTTCAATTTAAGCATAATAGAGGCATTATTCCTCAGGTAGAGGTTTTCCCAAGGGACTCTTACAAACATAAAATGAACACGTGTCAAATGTATTTAGCCCATCAATTAAATGAGGGAACCAAAAAGATGATACAATGGTGTCCAAAGAGAATTCAAAACACACACACATAAAAATAATCAGGAATCCTGGATTTACAAATAAATGATACAGAAAAACTGGACAATATCCGCTGAAGCAATAAGTTGAATCTCTATAAGACAACTTGTCTTTCTATGAAAAATAATCATCTGCATTACTGTCAGCATTCTACAATTCATAGACCTGTAAAATAGCGTAAAGATAGCCCCAAGACACCTAGTAGTCTTTTTTGATCATTTCAGTCTTGCAGAATTTTTCTTCGCACTGGCCTAAGAATGGACTGTATACAGGCACAGTCAAAGTGTCAGCATTTTCTCTGTCTCTGGTCTTTGTTTCCTTCTGCACTTCTGATTCATTCTCGTTGCATACTGGTTTTCTCTGCAACTTCACCTCCACTCAAAGCCCTATTTCTCCCTCCTACCTTCACTACACTTAAAAACTCTTCTTACGGGGCCTTCCTGGTGGCGCAGTGGTTGAGAGTAGGCCTGCCGATACAGGGGACACGGGTTCGTGTCCCGGTCCGGGAAGTTCCCACATGCCTTGGAATGGCTAGGCCTGTGAGCCATGGCCGCTGAGCCTGCGCGTCCGGAGCCTGTGCTCCGCAACGGGAGAGGCCACAACAGGGAGAGGCCCGCGTACCACAAAAAACACAAAAAACAAAAACTCTTCTTACCAGTTAAGCACTGACTAGAAATCAGAAGACAAGGAGGCTGGCTTTAGCTTTGACCCCCACTACAGCGAGTCTGTGACCCTTTCTGGCTATCAGTGTCCTTATTTTAATAATCTGGATCAGTGATTCTTAGACTTCTGAATTTCAAGACCGGTAGTTTTTGTTGCTGCTTTTAAAATTTTAGGGACTGACATAAGGTTACCAGTTAATGACATTGGTTATATTTAACCATCCATTATCACATTTTTCAAAAAGGAAAGTGCATTTTTAACATAAAAAAAGTAGGAAGGATAATGTTGGAATGAAACGTAGTCCTTTAAATGAATGCAATTAATTTTGTGAAATTCACTTTACCATCGTCCTTATTTTTCTTATTTTGCAAGAATTGAGTAAAAGCTCTCACGGACACATATTTGGGGAGGATTAAAGTTATCTTTTCCTGTTTGGTCTCCTTGCCTACAGTTTCTCCTTTTTCTTCTTCTCCGGCTTACCCTTCACTCTATTATTAGTACTAAAATAATAACACTACTTTGATCACTGAACTCCCTTCCTCAAATCATTTAATGTTCAAATATCACCCCCTGGGTCTCTTATTTAAGTCCATCTGCTTTCTTGCTCCAATTTAACTTTTCACATATTTTCTTTCACTTTTTTACACACATCTCTCAGTTCTAGTCAACCTAGTTGTGGTAATCAACCTCCAGGATGGCTCTCCCTGCTTCCTGGTATTCACATCCTCATGTAGAGTTCCATCCCACATTGTACCAGGCTGGTCTGTGTGAAGACAGACTAAGATGTGACAGTATGTCACTTTTGATGGCAGGTTACTAAAGCCTACAGCTTCTGTCTTGGTTGCTCTCTCTTGATCACCTGCTCTGGGGGAATCCAGCTGCCATGTTGTAAGGGTACTCAGCCTATGCAGAAGGCCATAGAGTGAAGAACTGAGGCCTCCAGCCAATAAAATGTGAGGAACAGAGGCCTGCCAATAACTTTGTGAGCTTGGAAGCAGATCCCAGCTGCAGTCAAGCTTTGAGATACCTGAAGCTCCAGCTGACAGCTTGACTGCCAACTCATGAGAAACCCTGAGCCAGAACCCTGAGCTAAACTCTCCTGGATTCCTAATCATCAGAGACTGTGTGAGACAATGATTGTGCATTAAGCCTAAGTTTTGGGATACTAGCTGTGCAGCAATAGATGACTAAGGCACATTTTCTTGCCAGCCAAGAATACATCTTTTCCTCTTTGCACTGTTATTGCTCATGCTGGATCTCCAATTATCCCACCTCTAGCTGTCAAACTCTTGCTTGTCAGCCTTTACACCAGGCTTCCTACCCACTTCCCCTATGATTCCTTCTCTCATCTTCTCCGCAGGAAGTGATACTTCCTCAAACTCTGTGCCATGGCATTTGCACTGTGTACCTTTTTTTGGTATCTATTATATAGCCTCTCATTCATTCATTCAACAAACCTTTACTGAAGGCCCTGAATAAATAAATACGAGTAAGAGAAAATCCTTACCCTTGAGGGTTCAAACTCTAGTAAAGAAGTTAACAGCTGTGAAACGACAAAGCAATATATAAAACAAGATGGTCCACGGCATTATGGGAACAGAAGCTACTGGTGGGAGGGGGCAGGAGTTGGGAAAAGCTTCATAGAGGAAGGGATGCTGAGCTAAGTTTTAATGAAGGATGGCCAAGTATGCAGGTAGGTGAAGAGGAGAAAGGGCATTTCAGTCAGAGGGAACTCTGAGTAGTTGGAACCGGAATTAGGTTCTATGGGATGGAGGGGGGAGGGAAAAAGACTGTAAGGACCTTTCATCTAAGGACCAACCATCTATGCTATAGATGGCTGATAACTGCTGAGTAGTTTTAAGTAGAAGATGATAGGATCATACTTTGTTTTTGAAACGTATCTACAGTGGCAATAAAGAGAAGAGGCTGAAGCATGACAACCAAGGAAGCAAAAGACCAGACCAGAAGAAGGATGTGGAAATAATTCAAAATGAAATGGTAAGGTGGTGATGGTGGAGATGGATTTGGAAGATAATTAAGAAGTTAAAAAGAAAGGGTGGGCTTTGGGTGAGAAGACTGAAAAAAAGGAAGGCTTAGAGGAATTCTAAGTTTCAGTTGGCTGAGTAGCTAAGTGGGTAGTGATGCCAGTCATAAGTATTCCTTGAGTGTCTATGTACCAAGCACTTCCTGGGAATTCAGCCATGAACAAGACAAAGTCTCTGCGCTAAAGGAGTTTATACTCTAGGGGGTAGTTTAAAAAAAAACGATGTCGACTGAAAAAAAATGCACAATGTGACAGTTATGTTTAATTGGAGGCAAAATAACCCGGGAGGGAGCCTCTCAGCTCATAGGAACTGCTCCAAAGCGGTGGGGTGGGGGGAGGTCAGTAGAGATGTGATTTTAGTGAAGGGGGGTTACATGGAATCAAGCACAGTGAGAGGCCCGCGTACCGCAAAAAAAAAAAATCTGAAGTCCTGTTCTTCCTCGAACATCTCATTCCTAACTCCTCTCTGAACTCCTTTCAGGGTGTGTTGAAGGTCAACCACTCCAGTAGATAGTGACCTAAACCTTGCAGAGGCAGACAGTGTACGACAATTTTAGTTGGCAGTGAAAAGAGGAAAAAATAAATAAGCTGTAATAAGTGGGAAAAAGGAAACAAGGGACTTTGCTAATCTGTGTTAAGCCACTTATTTGCACAAGATAGTGGTTGACAAGTATTTCCCAATAAAATATGTCATGTTACTATTTTTTAATTCGGGCGTTCAGCCCCGAAAGAGAATAACAGGAGGAATAAGGACTTTCCCTGTATCTTAAGCAAGGCTTCTCACATTTTAATTGTTTAGTCGTCTAGCTCTCCTCCAAACCCCAGGCCATGGTCTTAATCACCACCCTGAGCACTTGGGTGTTCCATAAAATTCTTAGTGCGCAGAAGTGAATGAAAAGTTATGAGCAGCCTGAGGGTGGATTTTCCTTTGACTTCTGCTTAAGGAAAAATCCTTTTCACGATCATCCCATAATCGATCTAAACCGAGACAGGCAAAGAGCAACTGTGCAGATGAAAAGTGCCGGCTACAGTCCACAGATCTGGCTCGGAGTACGTTTCCGAGTATCTACTGGGCGGCAAACGTCGGGCTGGTCGCCAGGGCGCAGAAAAGAAGCTCGAGACCACAGTCTTAGCTTCATTTCCACTCCAGAGCTTCACGTTTCCCAGCTTGGTCTGTCTTCATGTTAAGTTGTTTTGAAACACACACGAAAGACGCCCGACGCTCTCCTCCGTTATTTTTCCCTTTTCAACGTTTGGTGCCCAACCCCCGCCATCCAAGAATCCCATCGCTGGAAGGAGGCCCGCCTCGGGGCCCGGGGCCTCAGGTCTGCACGAGGAACGGAAGCGGCGGCTCGCGTGGGTCGCGTCCGAACCGGCCTGAAGCCCCACCCGACCTGCACCCCGCTTCCGCCGTCGCGCAGCGCCAGCGCCTCGCCTCCTGGGAATACAGGGCCCCGCCCCTACCTGCGCGCGACACTGCAGTGAGCAACAGTCTCCCTCCGGAGCGTGACAGCTAGACATGGCCCGGACGAGAGGTACCCGCGCCCTCCAACCTTTTCACAGCTTTGCTTCTGGTGCTCCGCCTGGGTTGACGCGGCAAGGGCCGAACTGCAATCAGGCGGTCCTGAGGGCACCCTGGGGGCGGGGCGGACAAGGCGAAAGGCGGGTCTGGGAGGGCCTCGCTGCCTGGAGACCCAACCGCGGAGCCGCCTGACTGGGAGGCGGGGCCAAGCTGTTGGAGGCGGGGCTAGAAGAGCTTGATTCCAAGGCTCAGAGGGGCGGCTGGCGTCCAGGGGGCGTGTCCAACAGGGTGGGAGGCGGGGCCTGAGAGGGCCTTGATGACTGGGCGATCAGGCTGTGCAGAGGGCAGCCCGGGAGAAGGCCGGGAAGATGGCGGCCTCCTGGAGGCTAGGCTGTGATCAGCGGTTGCTGCGTGGGCTGGTTAAGGGGGCTGCTGTGTGGTCTGCCGGTCGTGGAGCTAGTTGGAGATGGTTTCACAGCACGCAGTGGCTGCGAGGTGAGTGGCTGGGGCTCGCACAGCTTCTGTGTATCTGAGCAGTGGGCCTGGGGCTGGAGCTTTTCGATTGAAGGCCTTCATCTGGGTGTGAGTTGCCAGGGGCTCACTGTTCCCTTGGCTTTTTCTCGGGGAGGAGTCTGCTGACTTGGCCTACTGCATGCCGCAAAGGGCTTTTGGGGAAACTAGGAGAACTTGATTCCGTCCCTGGCCGCCTGGGTGATATGGCTTCTCCGTGACCTTGCCTTGGAATTTGGGTTGTGAGGCGTCTCTCGGGCCTTTTCCCAGTCACATTTCAGGTTTCTTTAGAGTTGTTAGGTTGACCAAGTTTGTTGAGATTTAAACGTCACCGTTAGCCGTTTTTATTCATTCTCCTGACCTGTGTCTATTGGGAAACCTTCGAGGACAGTTGGGTTGCTCCACGCGACGACTGTGGTAAAGGACCCAATTTGTAAATGTCCAGCCATTAGACATAGGTCGGGAAGAATGTTTAACCAAAACACGAGCCTGAAAGAGTGAAAATTTAGGAGTGGAATCTTACCAAGAAGATGTCGACTTAAAGACATACAACATAAGAGTTGTGAGTTAAGTTTTATTCAGCGGCTTACTGCCGATTATAGCACGGGAGACAGCCAGTCAGCTCCGAGGAACTGCTCTGCAGAGGTAGGGGGGAAGCCAGATTGTATATGAACTTTTTTGTCTAGGAAATACTTACAGTCAAGTATATATCTTGGTAAAAGATTACTGCTAATCACAAAGAACAGATATCTCATGTTAATGGTTTTAGTATATTTTTACGAATAGGAAGATGTAAGAATCCAGGGTCATTGAAATTCTTCCTGAGATATGCTTCGAACTATCTAAGGGCCTGTTTATCCAAAGCAGAGTGCTTCATCCTGAATTACTCTCAGGTCGCACTGTGGCTGGGCAACTTGAGTGGGTTATGACTTAACCCTTGTAGAACTGGATAGTCATTGAAATTCTTCTTTGTTCACAAAATTTATTATAGAAAATTGTCATTAAAGAGTAGTATTGACACAATTAACATAATTCTTACAGTGTTTAATACTATGTAATATAGTGTGCCCGGCACTATTTTTCTTCACATGGGTGGCGGGCAGGTATTGAGTGTATTACTACCTGCGCATCATTCAGTCACTCCACAGGATGAATTGTAATATAAAAAATTAGGTGCAGTAGGCATTGCCTACATATTCTGAGCTACTTGAAGCTCAGAAAAAAATGTTACACGAAGTTAATGTTAAGATGATTTCACTGAGATTTTAAGATCCAGTGATGAGACTTTTTTTTTTAATAAGTGATGTATTCTGGTAATATCTACATTGTGAAATGGTATTTCAGCAACCGTCATGATAGCATTATTTTAAATAAGGTACTAAAATTCCAGACTGTGTATAAAGGATGGTAAGACCATTTAAGAGTTAAAGTATATGTCACTGACCTCGCTGTAAGTTTCTAAGATGATATACTCTTAAATACACCTTATTGTTGTCTTGAGCATCATTTGCCTTTGCGAAAAAATGTGTAAATCCCCAAACTCTTATGTATGTGTTCATTCTTTTCCTACATTCTTGAGTGGTGATTTCTTTTTGCCCTTGTTCCAAGATTGCAGAATAAACTAGGATTCATGTAGAATTTAAATTTTATAGTTTAATACCAAGAAGACCAATATTGCAAGCTGAAACCTCTTCTGAAGTGTTTGGTTTATTTCATCCAGAGAAAATAGTTCTGCAGCCATTCTGACATACCTTACAGTTCCAGCAGGGTCTTTATAAATGTATCATTCAGTGCTAAGTGTATGAAGGAATCAACAGATTCTGTAAATAAAATGGAGTGTATGGTGACTCTTTTTATTTTTTGTACTTGGTAAGCAATACATTTACTATAGCTGGTGATCTACTGGATACTTTTCTTCAATCAAGGCCTTTCTTGTGTTAATGAAACATTTCTAGGGAAGAATTAAGGTTGGTAAATTTAAATTCAGGCGAGTTTCTTTGGGAATCTACTAGCACTGATTTTTAGAGAGGCGTAAACCTATTTGAAAACTGATAAAAGCTATACCACTTCTTCAGAAAAATGCATACATGCAAAATTTTGTATGTGATTCTAGGGAACTTGTAGATCTCCCTGTAATTTATCTATAAATGCCACCTAGTCTCCAGGCTATTACCATGAACATTTTGGTCATTTCCTGCAGAAAATAATTGTGCTACTTTGCAAGGGTATTTGCCATATCTGAGAACAAGAAAGGTGCATTTTAATATAGGGGTTCGAACTGTAAACAAATGACTCTTGGATACATTTACACAAGTGACTACAACAAAGGCAGTTATCTGGAAATTTTGATTCATATCTGGATTTGGGTTACGTTTGTGCGTTTAGGCTCATCCGATCATTCACCTTTACCTAAACATCTGTACTTCTCTTTCCTTTCTTTGCTCATATTGTTCCTTCAAATCGAGTGACCTTCCTTGTGGTTTGAAATTTTTCTTGTTACTTCAATGCCACCCTCTTAAATCTTTTTACAGGCTCCTGGCAAGGGAATCGATGACATTCTAGAAATGGGTAATTTGAGGAGAGTTTTATAAGTGACTATTTTTGTGAATTTAGGCTGTAGAGATGGTGCTGTACTAATGGGCTGTTTTTTTGTATTTTTTTTTTTGCGGTAGGCGGGCCTCTCACTGTTGCGGCCTCTCCGGTTGCGGAGCACAGGCTCCGGACGCGCAGGCTCAGCGGCCGTGGCTCACGGGCCCAGCCCCTCCGCAGCATGTGGGATCCTCCCGGACCGGGGCACAAACCCGTGTCCCCTGCATCGGCAGGCGGACTCCCAACCACTGCGCCACCAGGGAAGCCCTAATGGGCTGTTTTGAGTAAGGTGCTGTGACCACCCCTTGGCTTGAAGAGGCATGGGAAGCGAGCACTTCCTGGAACTGGGGAGGAGGGAGCCTGTGGGAGGACCTCTGATGGAGCTGTGCCCTTCAGTTAAAGGATCCAGCCAGGCCAGGCAACCCTTCAAGGAGGGGGCTGGGGAAAAAAATGTCCTGACCTCACTATTCTCTCTCCTTTCGGTCTCCTGCTTATTCTGCTCATTGGCAGAACCCAACTGGAGGCCAAAGCAAGGAGGCCTGTTGATGTAGCCCATATAGTAGTATGGGGGAGGGTTGATGAATAGATCTGGAAGGGCAGATGGGAGATGCCTCCCCAACCCACCTGACTTACCCATCAGTCATTACACTTTATATTGATGCCTCAGCTTTAGCACTGATACGATCAAGTCCTGGCTCGTGTGTGTCTGTATGGTAGGTCTCATGCTAACAGAGGGGAAGAGAGCAATTGTAGTTTCTACACTTGGAAGAATCAAATGTAGTTTCCTTGGGTTGTTTCCCTAGGCCAGTGCTTTGCACAAGAGTAAGCACAGGCTCTTTATAACTGACCTGATTTTTAATGGGATTTTTCTTTCTACATTTGAATAGCTGAAAAGGAATCAAGTCTATGTAGGCTTCTGGGGCACTTTTTTTTTTTTTTTCCGGTACGCGGGCCTCTCACTGTTGTGGCCTCTCCCGTTGCGGAGCACAGGCTCCAGACGCGCAGACTCAAGCGGCCATGGCTCACGGGCCCAGCCGCTCCGCGGCATGTAGGATCTTCCCGGACCGGGGCACGAACCCGTGTCCCCTGCATCGGCAGGCGGACTCTCAACCACTGCGCCACCAGGGAAGCCCCTGGGGCACTTTTTATAGAAAGAAAAATGTTCCTTTTGGAACTATGGCATCTAATTTGGATTTTGGGGTTTTTTTACTTGTACTCCTAACTCGAGTCATCCTTGACTCCTGACTTTCTTATGCCACATCCAAACTATCAGAAATTGTTCTTGACTCTACCTTTTAAATGTAATCTGACCACTCCTCACCACTTCTGCTACCAACTAGACTGGTGCAAGCTACCACCACCTCTAATCTAGATTATTGCAGGAGTGTCCCAATAGATGTCTCTACCACCACCCTTGGCCCAGTACCGGCCATTCTCCATGCAGCTTTCAGAGTGCTGCTTTTAAATTATAAATCAGATCATGTTACTCCTCTGCTGAAAACCCATGTTACTCCTCTGCTGAAAACCCCTCATTAAACTCAGAATGAAATCTGAAGTCCTTAACTGTGGTTTACAAAGCACAATATGATATGAATTCTCCACCTCTCTGAGTTCAGCTCTGACCATGCCTCACCTCACACTCACTCCACTCCAGCACACAGGCTCCCTTGGTGAGTTCTGAACACACCAAGCATGCTCCCTGCACATTCTTTTTTTTTTTTAACTTAAAAAATTATTTTTAATTTATTTTTCTTATGTGGGTAAACATACAATTTATTTTTTCTATGTTCTTTTTTAATATTTTTAATTTATTTATTTTTGGCTGCATTGGGTCATCGTTGCTGCACGTGGGCTTTCTCTAGTTGCGGCAAGCAGGAGCTACTCTTCATTGCGGTGTGCAGGCTTCTCATTGCGGTGGCTTCTCTTGTTGTGGAGCATGGGCTCTAGGTGCGTGGGCTTCAGTAGTTGTAGCACCTGGGCTCAGTAATTGTGGCTTGTGGGCTCTAGAGTTCGGGCTCAGTAGTTGTGGCGCATGGACTTAGCAGCTCTGCGGCATGTGGGATCATCCCGGACCAGGGCTCGAACCTGAGTCCCCTGCATTGGCAGGCGGATTCTCAACTACTGCACCACCAGGGAAGCCCTCTGCTCATTCTTGTGCTTGCTGTTTCCTCCGTTTCGAAGGCTCTCCATCAGAGATTTGCATGGCTTCCTCCATTCAGCTCTACTCACTTTGTCAGAGGATGCCTTCTCTGATCAAACAATAAAATAGTTCCTCTACTGCGACTGGGTCCCCTTACTTTCCTTTCTTTTCTTAGAAGGATCTGGTCCTTAACATGCCTTTTCAGTCTCTCAGGACAAGTGTTCTAAGTCAGTAAAGGAGAACAGGTGACATGTTC